TAGTTCCATCCAGTTTAATAGTAGTTATCATACCACTAGAAATATCTATAGTTCCCAGGAGCACATCGGGAACCATTTGAAAATCCTTAGATGATTCCATATTCTAACAAGACACCTTTTCACCAACCAAAAAGGACCCCTAACACTTTAACCGAGGTTCCAGACCTAAAAACTAGGTTACCACACGGTTAAGAACCAAAGGAAGACCCAAAAAACTAGGTTGGCAAAAAAATAGAGAGAGAAAAAAATATCCCAAAAATTATACAATGCTCAGAAAATTATGGGACCACTTCCCGTCAATCCCAAATTGAAAAGTGGCCTGAATGGTCTAGGTTTTACAGCAGAAAAATATAACTAAACCTGTTGTACATGGCTTGACATCAGATCTGGAATTTCTGCAATTTTTTCCTTGAAAAATCCACCAAAAATCATAGAAGTTTCATATGATGACAAGAGCCATACCAAAATTTTTCTAAAATCAGGGCAAATCAAATTGTGTTGGTTTCATAGACTGCCGCTGGCACCTGTATTGACTGCTAACATCATCCGGCAGCGGTCTGATGTCAACATTTTGCCTTTAGGTAGGAGATCAGCAGAGAACCAACTCCCAGATGCTTCTACCGTCTCTGATACAAAGTTGTAGAAACTCGGGTTTCAAGAGAGGAAGAAGAGAAGAGAAGAGAAGAAGAAGAAGAAGAAGAAGAGGAAAAGAGAGCAAGTGTCGAGAGGTGTGTGTTATTCACTGTTCACACCCTCAAAAGATTACTTTATAATTTGAGAAAATAATAATTACAAGAAGGCCCCTATCTGGGTGCCCATATACTGAGAGAGTATAACGAGAAAAAGACCAAAAACACCCCTATCTAATCATTCTTAACAAGATATAAGGCTCAACTAGTATAGCAAAAGGATATACTCAAACTTATGTCATTGATTATTAGGGGACATATCCTCCTATGGCTAAAATGAACTCCATCCGAGTAATCTCCTCCCTTGCCACTTCTCATGGCCTTTGTATCAAATGGATGTGAAAAATGCATTTCTTAGTGGTGTTCTTCAAGAAGAGGTTTACATAGACCTTCCTTCTAGTATGAGCTTCCCTAATAGTAAGGGAGAAGTATGTCGTTTGAAGAAATCTCTCTATGGCCTCAAGCAATCTCCTATAGCTCAATTTGATAGATTTCGGAAAGCCATGGTGAAGATTGGGTTCACACAATCTCAAGCTGATCATACTTTATTCATAAGAAGAGTTTATGATCATGTGACTATTCTAATAGTATATGTTGATGATATTGTGACCACTAGAGACGACACCTTTGGAATTACTTAATTGAAATCACTTCTTGCTTCTGAATTTGAGATTAAGGATCTAGGTAATCTCAAGTATTTTCTTGGGATTAAAGTTGCAAGATTGAAGAAAGGAATTGTTATATCGTAGAGAAAATATGTCCTTAAATTACTTCAAGAAGTGTGCAAATTGTGTGCAAGCCAGCTGAAACTCTAATTGATCCCAATCATAACCTGAGTGTTGATAATGGAAATATTCTTCCAAACAAAGGTGCTTATCAAAGGCTGGTTGGTCACCTTTACCTATGTTTGACTAGGCTTGATATATCATATGCAATAAGTGTAATGAGCCAATACATGCACAAGCCTAGAACATCTCATATGTTGGCTATAAATAAGATACTTGTCTATTTGAAAGGTAGGCTTGTCGGTGGCAATGTAGTGTCATGGAGAAGTAAGGAACAATCTATTATTGTAGCTCGATCCAGTGCTGAAACTGAATACAAAGCAATGGCTCATGGTGTTGCTATGGTTGAAGAGTTTGCTGATAGAGATTGGAATGTAAGAAGAAGAAGAAGAAGTTCCAATGTGGCTATATAGTGATAATCAATCTGCCATAAACATTGTACTCATTAGCGCACAAAACATATTGAAGTGTACAAACACTTCATTAGAGAGAGAATTTCTAGTGGAGATCAAGTCAGGAGATCAACTAGCTAATTGTTTAGCCTAGGGGGTTACCAAACTGAAACTTGACAACAATCTTGGCAAGCTAGGCATGATAGATATCTATGCTCAAGTTGAGGGAGAGTGTTGAAAATATGTTTTGTTTGCAAAGGCTTATTTGTCTTTTTCCATCTATTTGTATTCGGGTGACTATAGCAAAGGGAATATGTGTAACTTACACCTAATATAAATCTTTCCTTGTGGGAGTGAACAGTAAAATTCTAGCTAAGGGAATATGTGTAATTTAGAATGCTGATAATACCTAATAAAAGGTAAAAAAATAAGGTAAAATAGAAAGAATATCCTTCCAAGGAGAAGCTCTAGTAGACCTAGCCAAAATTCTAGCATCCTATCCAATAGTTGCAAGTCTATAAATGCTTATTATCACCACCCACCCTTCTTTCCTCTACCCCCCCAAAATTGAGTGGACTTAAACTGTTTCATACTTTCATCATGGGTTTTCGACTCTGGGATTATATGGGAACCTAGAAAAGAAGCTTAAGACAGAGCACAATTTATTGTTGAAACCGAATTGACAAAAGTACCAAGTTTGAAAGAGGAGAAATCAAAGGAGCAAAGGGTGGATGGCTTTATTTCCTTTCTTTGTCTAATTGGTTGGATGTCATCTTCCAAACCAGTTGGGTTTTGCTGAGGAAGGTATCCTGTCCTTGTTTCAATCCTCTGATTGCTCTCGTTAATTGTTGCTCACCCCTATTTGGATTTCCTCTGCTAGGCCTCTGATAATCCTCAACTACGTCCTTATGGACACCCTGCCCAGGAGATTGATTTGGTTCTGGTTCACCCTTGTCCAGTTTTTGAATTTAATCCCCAGCAGCCTTCTTGTGCACAAAAATTGTCTAGACCTCCCAGAGCATCAATTGGAACCAAAGTAGGGAAAGAGTTTGTGGTATACTCTTCTTCTGCAAAAAGCAACTCCATGTTGATGGCCTAATCCTCCCCTCCTATCTTACCATCATCCCCCACACTGCTGATACTGGAAGAAGTATCCAGATCCAAATCCTCATCATTCCACATAGTACAATCAATCCAACCTCTATTCTCATCCTTATAGTCAGCTGATCATACCCCAGTATACCTAGGATTAGGGTGACTAGAAAGAAACCATCTAGTATTCATTTGATCCTCTAGCTTTGGATTCCATTGCTTCGGTTGCCACTAAGATCCTGTTTTCAACTGAACAGCAATTGGGGACGAAGATATACAGTTGTCTGTGTCCCCAACTGATCCTTTAGGTTCACGATTCATGTGAATCAGCCCTTCCTTGAACCGGTTCACAAACTCAGTTATTCCATCATCCAGCCAGCTCTTATTTATTCTCGCTCTGTGCCATTTTCCTATCAAGTGGTCCCCACCCAGGGTTTGACATAGCACCTCGTTTAATGGCCTCTACATAAGATTTTACTTCTGTCCCTTTCTTTTTGTTTTCAAACTTATTTGGATTAAATTCTTGTCTAGGCGATATCATTGCTTGATCTCCCTTATTAGTCTTTTCGTTTTCCTTATTTAATTTCCTCCTTGCATGTTCAACCCTATCCTCTCCTCCTCCTCCATGTACACTACCACGCCACCTCACCATCATTTTCAACCTTGGAAGAGCCCTTCCGCAATGACACTTTGACTTCTGTTACCAGCCAAACCTTGCTTGACAGACCATTCGAAAGCACTTCAATGAATCGAGGCACATCGCCTGGTTTCGCCCCCAATGATTTGAAGTCTTGCAACATACAGGTCAAGGATATTATACGCTTCAATGGATCAAGGCACATCGTCTGGTTTCAACCCAATGATTCGAAAAAACTCTTGCGGTAAATGGGTCAAGCAGTATAGGGGTAGTTTAGTCACTTGTGTGTCCCATACTTAATGAGGGACAGTGTGTGTCCCATACTTAATGAAAGAAACTGTTGGAGTCAGCAGTATAGGGTTAGTTTAGTCACTTGTCATTTAATTAAAGGTCAGTTATCTATTTTGTCTGTGTTTAAGTTGTGTGTCCCGTACTTAATGAGGGACAGAGTTCTCTTTTGTATTCTAATGCACAGACAATAAAAGGTGGGTTGGCTAAGAGTGAGTGACTTTCCTCTCTGGCTGAACCCCTTCTTTCTCTTCTTTCTCTTCTTCTCCCTTTCTTTCTTACTTCAGACCTAGGATTGAACTAGTATTAATAGAACCATTAACAGAAACAAAAGGATTTTTGAAGATAAATAAAAAAATTCAAAAACTCCGGTAGCTCTGGTGGGGAATCTAGTAGCAGATTGGGTCTGGGTGCTTCCAGATTTTTATCAAGTTAGTAGGTCAGATTTGGGGGAGAATTTCTGGAATGTACTTGAAAGTCAACCGTTGTAATTTGTCTCAGTTTTGTATCAGTATATGCTATTTAGGTCAGAGCTGTTTCATTTTGCAAGGTAAGTGTCACCTTGTCAGTTGTCATCTACTGCACTGTATCTTTCCTTTTTATTAAATAAAATTTTCAATTTACTCTTTGAAAAAAAAAAAGATTTTCAGGAAACACAAGAAAGACTATAACAAGAATCATGTCAAAGGGCAGGGCAGGGCAGGATCTAAGTATAAGCTGCCGGATCTATATATTTGGAGTGGAACTGGCCTAGAAGTGCTCCCCTAAAAGCTCAGTAGTCAGAACACTGTTCCAAAATTTGAATCTTGTAATTTTTCTTTAGCATAGCCTATAACAACATTAAGCATAAAGAATAAGGGCATCAATATCAGACGAACAATGCCAAATTTCAGTATTGAGTTATGACTTTTGAATCCTATGATGCTAATATTCATTGTAACCCCAACAAACTTATTTCTATACATGTTGCATGTTTGAGCCTACAAATGAAGTATATCATCAAAAAACTTCAAACATGGATTAAAATTTTAGAAAGAAAAAAGTAGCAGATGAACCACCTAATGAGAGTTAAGTCACAAACAAGACTGCATTGACAAAAAGAATCCATAATAATTACTTGGGCAAGAGGATTCGCCTGGGGGCCTCTTGATTGAAATCCAGAGAACAGAGATGGACCAGAATCAAATTTGTATCCTTTTATCTCAAATGAGTGAGCCGCACCTCCAGGTAGATCATGACTTTCTAATACAAGAACATCTTGCTGATATCTAGCCAAAAGGCCTGCACAACACAGTCCAGCAATTCCACTTCCAATGACAACCACATCTGCTTCTGGCTTGCCTGCATTCTATTCCACGATTAGACTAGAATAAATTATCTGAACTACTTACACAATATCTAAGTGAACATATTATTAATTCATGAAATAACCCCAGGTCGGTCCAATCAAACGGTCCTCCCTTACCTTCTGAAAGTGTTTAGTTTGTAGTCTGTACTTAAACAGCAGAATGTAAGATCACAAGGGCTAGTCTAGATTTTGTATATAATTCTAACCACATCAAAATTTAGAAGTTAACTATTAAGAAATCAACCCCCCCACCCCCCAAAAAAAAATCACAGATAAAGTCCAAGTTTCAGATTTGGGAATAAAGATTCAATACATCCAAACAGTTTCTCCTTCTTGATTTATTTCTCCCAATACAGCATGAAATCATTTCTATACCAAAATGAAACCCATAACGAAATTCCCCATATAGAGTAAACAATAACTCTATTAGTACTTGAAACATAAATACAAAGCGACGAATCAAGAGCCAAGGCAAAAGAGAGAAGAGACCTGGGAAGTCAATCTTTGCCTTTGAAGAGGCATAGCCGTTGGATAACTCTAGTCCATTTGAATTTCGCGCCAAAATGGGCTTTCTTGCTGGCAGAGATTTGAAGTGGAAAGAGAAAAGTTTGAATTTGAGAGTGCATGGAAGAATGCCGAGCGCCATTGCCGGAACCCAAACAACCAAAGCCAAAGAAAACTAAACTTTAAGAAAAATAAAATGACAGAATGGAAGAATGTTATCGAAACCCGAGAAGTAACAACTTCACAATCCCCTCTGGCCGAGTGACGGTAGTCGAGCTTCCGTTCCATGTTTCAAAGAGAAAGAAAACCTCAGGTGAGATATAGCGTTGACGTGGTTTCTATTTGCCCACGTCGGTTTTATCCTGCCAAAAGCAGTTACGGTTACGGCCTTTAGAAAGAACAGCATCTTCATTATATCGTCTAATTTCAAAACCGCCAAATCGAACCGAATCAACCGAAATTGGCGGTTTGTTTTGCTCTGGTTAAAAGGGTTTGATTTGGTTCGATTCCACCTTCCCTTTTCTTAGATGTTTCTGTTAATACTTATTTTTTTGGCTTCCTCCATTATAGAATACTTTATTGGCCGCTCTCCATTTATACACCCTGCTGACTAGTTTCCACTCCATTTGAGTTGGTTCACTTGTATTTGTACTCTTTATAAACTGAACCTTTAGATTATTTGTCTTTGTTTCTTAACATTTGTTCTAACAGTACACGCTTTGTAAATGCCAAAGAAATTTGAGGTTGCTAAACTCTATTGATGTGAGACATCATCTTAGATCCTCTGGATATTACCCTGCCGAACCACCATTTCGCAGTATGGGGTCGGATCGTTACTTTCATGGATGGCTGAAAGGGGTCGAGCCGCCAGGGCACACTTTGCACTTAGTTATAGGCCTTTTAGTGGTTTTTCGGTATTCGGACATGTGTGGCGCGAGGTGTTGCATAGGGTAGCTGGGTGACGGTACCACCATAATGATGTCTTTTTAGGGGTGTAAATGGGTCGAATTCGAATCGGATCAGGCGATAACTGAATTTGAATCCGATTAGAAAATCCAATATCCGAATTCAATTTGATATCCGACGGATATTAAAAATTAATATCTGAATTCAAATTCGATTAAATATTTAAATATCCAATTCAATTAATTAATTATTTTAGATAATTAATAAATATATAAAATAAATATTTTATTGATATAAAATATATAAATATATTAATTATTTATATAACTTAATTATTATATATATATATAAATTATATAGAATATTTTATATATTATATATAAGAATTAAATAATTGGTCGAATTCAGATATTTATCGAATTGAATCAGGTCATATCCAAATTCGATTCAATTATATCGAATATCAAATTTGAAATCGGATTTTTGAATACCGTTTACACCCCTAGTCCCTTCAATTACCCGGTGAACGTCAGAGATGGTTCAGTGATCTTGCGAAGTGCAATGGTGAAAAATGGAGATTTTGTCAAACCACCATTTGGCACCGTCTGGTCGGGCCGTTCGTTCAAATCAATTATTTATATATATAGTACATATTATTTATATATACCATATATATTATTTATTATTTATTTATAAATATGTTATTTATATTGCATTTTTGTAAACTTTTATATGATGGAAATTGTTGAAAAAATACTTATATTTTTTGTTTTTTATTTCAGCTTTTATAATTTTGTTTTTCTTTTAATAACTTATTACTTTTTTAAAAAATTAAATCGAATCGTATCAGATTTGAATATGTGACATCTTGATCGGATTCAGGTTGGATTCAATATTTATGAGATCCGGTCGAATTTTTGGATCAGATCTGATTTGAAATATTCAAATCAGATTTGATCTGTTTGCATCCCTACCAAACCACTTGCCTACGATGACCTAGTTAATTAAATTATTGAACCATTTGCATGGTTAGTCGGGTCATGTATTAGACATTAATGCTCTTTATTTTTTACCCTAATTTTTATCCCATTTCTATCATTAATGAAAATAATTCTCATTAATCACACATTTTTATATGATGAATATATAATCTTATAGAATGTACCCAAAATCAACGACAAATTTCTACATTTTCTAGAATTTTATTATTTAATAATAATATCCATTTGACATGGATAGTTTAACCACTAATCCATCACTTGGATGGAAAAATCATTTTGTTTTTTCACTTGATTTTAAATCATGTATTCTATTTTCGTCATCAATAAAAGTAATTCTTATTTTCATATTTACTTTTGTTTAATATGATGAATATATAACAGTAAAATTGTGTCAAAATTCTTTATGCAAAGCTTATTTTTTGTTCGAGTTTATGTATGTATGTATGTATTTAATATTCATTACATAGTTATGACATCATAAATTGACCCATTTGACCTAGAATGTTAGATCATTAACCTACCTACCATCTAGGTATGGAAATGGTTTCATTTTCAAAGTGGTTTTAAATTTTGCATCTCATTTATATCATTGATAAAATAATTATTATTTATCATACTTATTTTTGTTTATATTATTAGTATATAATATTATAAATGTGCCCAAAATTGTTTCATATTTTTGTACTATTCTATTTAAAAAAATTATTTTTAATTATACATCATGGGTTAACCTATTTGACCCAAAAGATTGAATCACTAACCCACCCCTAGATAGGAAGATGGTTTAATTTCTCATCGGTTTTAAGTTGTATATTTGATATCCATCATTAATAAAATTACGTCTATTTTATCATAGTTATTTTTTAATATGACAAATATATAATAATAGAAATGTGTCCAAATTTTTTTCTATATTTTTGTATTTCTTATATTTCTAAATTGTATTATTTATTTATGACATCATGAAATTATCCATTCAACCCAAATGATTAAAGTACTTACCCACAACCTAGATGGAAAATGTGATTTCATTTCTTGGTATATTTTAAAAATATAAAATTTCATTCTAAATTTATTAGTGGAATTTAATGATGGTAAACAAAAATATTTTTTATATTTATAAATTTGTATTATTTATTTGGGACATCATGAAATTATCTGCTTGACCCAAATGGTTGAACTACTTACCCACTACCTAGATGAAAAATATGATTTCATTTCTATGTTTATTTTAAAAATATAAAATTTTATTTTATTAGTAATTATTGTGTATGGATTTATTAGTGGAATTTAATGATGATAAACAAAAGTATTTTTTTATATTTCTAAATTTGTATCATTTATTTATGACATCATAAAATTATCCATTTGACCCAAATGGTTAAACTACTTACCCACCACCTAGATGAAAAATATGATTTCATTTCTATGTTTATTTTAAAAATATAAAATTTCATTCTATTAATAATTATTGTGTATGGATTTATTAGTGGAATTTAATGATAATAAACAATGAGAGAGAATATGATTTATTTAATGACTTAAATGTGAGACTTAATGAGAGGTAATTGAATATACTTTAATGATATTCTTTTAATTACATTTTCTGTCCTTTCAATGGAGATGAACTAAATTCAAGGGAAGGGGTATTTCAATAAAAAAAAAAATTCCAAAAGCCAATATAAGTAGTATAGGTGAGCACTCACAGTGCAAAGACAACTAAATATAAAGTAATACAACTCCCTATTGTTTTCTCCTCTCTTTTAATTTTCCAAACACCAGATGTGTCTTTTCCCTTTTTATCAATCTTCCAAGAAAAACATAAATATCAAACTTTCAAAAGGCAGAGTGCGATGCACATAACGGAGCACGTTAAGACTCAAGCTTATCTCCATTAACTCTATTTATTTTCTAATTTAAGTATCCAAACAAGAAAAGTGTGATTTTGATTTTTACGAAGAATAACATTTTAACCAAAACATTAAATGAGAAGAATAAAGAAAATAGAAGTCAATACTTATTCAATGAAAAAGAAAACAGGATTTAGTTTAACAAAGAAAAATAAAAAATAAAATACAAGCTAAATTGGAAATTAAGAAGAAAAATGGAAGCACTAGAGAACTCAGAACGCTAATTGCATAGACACGTCTTTATCTAAGAAAACTTGAAAATCCGAATTAAATAAAGATATAGGCCTTTTAATGATCTAAGCCATTCATTCACTAACCAGAGCTAGACAAGTGAAAGCATATCACGACTTGTGTGAACCTCTTCGAACTGGTCTCCGATTCACAAGTCAACCGGCTCAAGTGGAGTGGAAATTAATCTGCAAGGTTAACTAATCATATAAAGGTTCTGAGAAAGGTATTCATGTGATGCAGACCGTAAAACATGGATGAACCCATTAAAGTGTGCCTTTAGAGTGGAGTCAGGAAATTCCTAGTTATAAGGTTGATCAACCTAGAACACATCCGGACGGTACCAAAGTACGAGTTATCTTAAAGATGTCACTTCATCAAAATGAGTTTCAAATTAAAACCTTCTTAGGAAAGGTGTCTTATTTAAAAAGATTCATCCCAAGACTTGCGCCAACAGCTTCACCCCTACTCAAGCTTACTAAAAGGGCAATCAATTCCAATGGAGCAACAACCATAAGAAGGCCTTTGAGCAAATAAAATAGGCCTTATCCAAGGCACCAACCATGTCCACTCTACAAAGCAGACTATATATCACTTCAAACCAAAAAGTTGTAGGTTGTCTCATCAGACAAGACAATGAGGAAAGGTCAAGAGTGCCTAATCTATTATGCCAGTAGGACTCTCAAACTAGCTAAAATCTCATATGGAGCGACAATGCTTAGCCCTAGTCTTTGCAATGCAAAAATTTAGACATTGCATCATTGGCCAGAAATTTGTCCTTTCTGCTTTGTAGAGGGGACATGGTTGGTGCTTAGTTAACATTGTGAGACAAAAAGAAAAGAGAGAGCAATTTTTTACATTAGTAAGAGACTATCTGTTTGGACTACTGTTACAGTAACCCGAACCAGAAAGAGGAGGAAGAAGAAGAGAAGAAGAAGAAAAAAAAGAACTTAACAAAGATAAGATGACTAAACTACCCATATTCGGCTCACTTTAACACTCCCTCTCAAGYTGGAGAATATATGTCATATAATCCCAGCTTGTTACATAGATAGTTCACTTTCCCTGAGCTTAGAGCTTTTGTAAACAAATCTGCCCATTGATCATAAGTGCCCACATGTTCTGCACTTATCTCTCCAACAAGAACCTTCTCTCTCACAAAGTGGCAATCAACCTCTATATGCTTTGTCCTCTCATGAAAAACAGGATTGGATGAGATATGGAGTGCAACTTGATTGTCACAGTACAATCTCATAGGTTTACCCATGTGGAATCCAATTTCTTGTAGTGT